TAGAAAAAACTCATCAAATCTAAATATTTAGACCAAATTAAAATAGGGAAAATGACAGATAAAGAAGCTCCAAAATGTGAAATGCCAATTTGGGAAGCTAAGGAAATGTAATTACCCATAGGGAAGTCCTTCCCAAATTGGGATTTTGAAATTCAGTGAAATGACAAAAATGCCCTTTGTTCTCTTTTTTTTTTTAAAAAAACCCAGCCCCTCACCGGTGGCCGGCGACCGGCAACCACCGCCGGCGACTGGCCTCCGACAGCCGCCGACCGCCTCCGGCCACCGGCGCCGGCCACCGGTGTGTGGCTGCCGGTGAAGGATTTTTGTGACAAGATTTTTTTTTTGGGAATAGGATAATATTGGTTCAAAGTGGCGGGGGTGGGATTTGATCCCACAACCCCTTGGCCACTCGGACCAACAAAAGGATGGCCATTGGGCCATCAAAGATTTCTTAACCTTATAATGCAAACAAAAATATAAGTTAACTCTTTTACTGTGACTCCAGCTCGTGACAACAATTTATCTGAGGATGACAAGTCTTAATTGAGAAATAACAAGTCTAAATTTGATATTAACAAAGCAACTTTTCCTTATACATAACATAGCAGCATGTGCATTAATTAAAAATGATCATAATTTATTTAAAAATGACACGTCTTTACTATAAAATGACAAGTCTAAAATTGATATTAACAAGGCAATTTTTCCTTATACATAACAAGAAATAGCATCTACGTTAATTAAAAATAACCATAATTTATTTGAAAAAACACGTCTTTACTGGAAAATGACAAGTCTAAATTTGATATTAACAAAGAAACTTTTCCTTATACATAACAAGAAATACCGAATAAATTGTTGTTATTTTTCAACAAAGACGTGTCATTTTTAATAAATTATGATCATTTTAAAATGCCCTTTGTTCTTTTTTTTTTAAAAAAAAAACCCAGCCCCTCACCGGTGGCCGGCGACCGGTGAGGGGCTGGGTTTTTTTTTAAAAAAAAAAGAACAAAGGGCATTTTTGTCATTTCACTGAATTTCAAAATCCCAATTTGGAAAGGACTTCCCTATGGGTAATTACATTTCCTTAGCTTCCCAAATTGGCATTTCACATTTTGGAGCTTCTTTATCTGTCATTTTCCCATTAAAATATTATCTTATAAAAAAGCTAAGCCCTTCTAATAAAGTTTATCTTGTATTTTATTTTGATTTACCTGTCTTTTTTTTTTTTGGGTACCATTTTAGTTTTAGGAAAAGCTATATTGGAGGTACCTGTATTTTTTTTAATTTTTAATTTGGTACCTATGTGTTTTTTATTCTTAACTAAATCTTTAATTTTGCTCAATTAATATCGTTAATCCTTATGTAGAGATTAAAAAATGCCAATAGAACAAAGTTATATGAGCTAATATTGCTAAAAAAAATAAAATTAAATATTTAATTAAGAAAAAAAAATCATAGGTACCAAATTAAAAATTAAAAAAAATAGAAGTACCTATAATATAGTTTTCCCTTAGTTTTAAATAATACTACCAATTATTTTCAAATGGCGTTGGCATGGAAACGAGGTGATTCAGAGATGAAGATGGATAAGATGGAGGGGAAAGTGTTGAGGGTTACTCTTGCCGGGGAACCAAAGGCACCACACATTCCAAATACATGACAGCTTGTGGGGCCCCCAGCATGAGACCAGAACATCCTACTGCTACTATACGAGACTGACACTGAGATGCAGATGGGCGGGGTGGCGGGGCCCACAGCTCCCACATAACTGAGGCTGAGGCTGTGGCTGTGGCTGTGGCTGTGGCCCCCCGGTTCTGCGCTCCTCCTCCTGTCCTCCATCACCTTCCAACCCTCCCCCACTCATTCCCCACCTTTCTTATCACAACCCCCCCTCCTATTCCTTGTCCCCGCAATTTTCTCCCTCCCAAGATTCCATTCTCCCTGTCATTATCATTATTCTTATTATTATTTTAAACAAAAATATCTCAACTTCTCATATCAAAATAAAAACTCCAAAACACAAACATATGAAAAAATAAAAAAACATAACCACTAGTTTAACTCTCAATGCCCTGTTTTATATGAGTAGGAAAGGTGTCGCATAATTTTTGACAAACATTGAGACTGATTAAAGATTTATTTCGTATTCCATAAATAATAAATTATTCAAAGCAAGAAGAGCAGTAAGAAGCGTGAGGAGACGCTCGGGAGCGAGGGGGAGCAAAGGAACAGTAATGATGAAAAAGACGAGAGGCAGCAACCTAATCTGACTTTTTTGAAAATTAAAAGTCGGGAAAAGCCCCCAAGAAAACCCTCGACTTTTACGCGGGTGCTCTGTCCCTCCCTCTGTCTCCGTCAGGCTTTCATCGTACTTTAGTCGCGTCCGTCTTCTGCACGCTCCCCGACGTGGCTTCTTCCGTCGTCCCTCCCCCTTCGCGCTCTCCCCCGGGGCATTCTCGTCCTTTCTCCCATAACACGTGTCCTCCTCCCTATGGTCCCCCGCTGGGCCTCCCTTTCCGACTTGCCAAAAGGAACTAGACCAGTCCTTGTCTCATCAGACGCTGTCGGTTACCGCCATGTGGTTTCCATCGTACGGCCGCCAACGGCCAAAACTCCATTAATCTCCCTCTGACCCCACCCTTCTTCACTCAACATGATGCCCGGAAACGCCGAGCCTTGCTATCCTGCATGAGCCTCCATTCTCTTGCCGTGCTCCTACTCCCACCTCCTTTCCCGTTTGAGCTTTTAAGGGTTAAATATTTTATAGAATACCGCAAGTTTTAGGGCAGAACGCCATTATCATTAAATTAACGATAAATGTTGGGGCTGGGGTGTCCAGCTGAGTTCAGGTTTCAGATAGTGGGGCGATGGTAGGGGGTACAACTGCAGGTCGTAGACGGGGGGGTCTTTGTCAGTGAAACTCTGGATCCTTTCAAAGCCATTAAAAATAGAAACTTCCCTATGCATTTTATCTGAATATATTTTATAGAAATATCCCCGTTTCTTTCATTTTTTAAAAAATTAATTAATTTAATTTATAAATGGATAAAAATTTAATTTTACATTTGAATATTTTAGGAAGACTATATTAATTTTATTATAATTGATTTACTTTTTAATTCATCTCAATTAATTATCTCTTATATTATGAACTATACAAAAGTAGCTATTATCTATCATTGGCAATAACAACTACTATTTTCAATCTTTTATATAAGAGCTAATTGATTAATTTGAGTATATTAAGAGAATTAGTTAATTTATTTATCTGTAATAAATAAGTATTGTCTTCTTAAAAACACTCTTACTAACCTTATGTATTAGCTAGAATTACCACTTAATGAAATATTTAAGAATCCTTCTGGCTTTAAAGGTAAAGCCTTTCTTTGTTTTTTTGGGTAGGAAAAGGTAAAGCCAGTTTGATCATTGAAAAGTCCTGGTGGGCTAATAAAGAAAAAGAAAGGCCCAGTAAAGCAGTAAAAAACATGTAGTGCAGGTCGGTTGCTGGCCATAAATAATAAATCATAGGCCCAAAGAAAACATCAGATATGATTAATAATTGGGGACACAAAGTAGAATGGTAAAAGCAAAATGATGAGCAATTATGGTTGTCTGTTTTTTTCTTTTTCCTTTTCTTTTCAATCTATTTTGTAGTGCTGATTCCTCTTTTAATCTTTAGCTGTTATGTGATATATGAGACTTAAAACAGAATATGTCAATTTCTTTGTTTGTTTCGTTGGATTATATCAATTTCAAAGGACAAGTTGTGGTGTTATTGTGATGAAAATTAATTAGTAATGTTGATAGTGAAAGAGACTTTAAGAGGTCTACATCTGATGCTCCGCGGTCTGAATTAGGAATCATATAGGCTATTCCCCTTTTTGTGTAGCCATGGACCACCAACCCCAAAAAAAAATTTTTTTAACTGGTTTATTGCTCAAGTTCCTCTTCTTTTTCATCATCTTGTCCACTATTAATATATGAGGAGATTTATGATAAAATAATTAAGGTATTCTTCTTCAAATATTATCATTATTGTGATTTTAATGAGATTATTAATAGAAAAATTTACGACTATAGTTTTGATTGGGAAAAAAAAAGTTGTTTTGGATCATTGAGGTGATGTGAAAGATGGTCTCCAATCAATAATTGAAAGCCCATAAAACAGAAGAGCTGCATCCGGGTCCATTTCATGCTTTCAAATTTCTCTGATCCAAGTGAGATTCCCATGTCACCTTCAAATCTACAATGGCTTCTCTCTTGCCTTGCAAGCACCAAACTCAACTTAATCTCATATTCAAAATCAAATGAGTGTTGCTTGCTAAGCAATCATCAAATATGTTAGGAAGCACGATTCCCTTTTATACAGTATCCCAAAATAACTGTCAGTAATAATAATATCATTTTCATATGATTTACTTTGGTCAAATTTGTGGAATTTTATTAGTTTATTCGCCCAAATATGAGTGATATTAGTATTGAGCTGACCCTGTATAAAATCCAAAACTTTCAATTTAGGGATGGGAGGTAGTACTAAATAATATGATTTGTTATAATTTTAAATTAAATTCGGATATAAATTTGAGCATCATAATTGAAGTGCAAGCAATAGGTGAAGTGGCATATATAGAAATAGTAGTTATGATCACATTGCATCTAAGGAAGGTGACGCTGTGAGGAAGACCCACACGGGATCCCCTTAATGACCTGTGAGGCACAAAGTCAATAACAAAGCATTGCCTCTAAGAAATATAATCCTTTGGCTCTCCCAACACGTGATAGCTATTATGCTAACAGCCTCCTCATTTCGTTCCAAGAAGGAACAAAAACTAAGAGTTCGGTGATAAAATTAGAAGAACCTAGACGGTATGTAATCTGAAACCGACAGAACAGTTACTTTTACCTTGTGAGATTACGCTTTAGTTAATTCCGTTGCTTCTGTTTCTAGTTTTTCCAATTCACTGGTTCGTTAGTAAAATGAAAATAAAAAAGAAAAGAAAAATTGAACGCTGTCAAATTTCATTTCCTTCTCGGTAACATACAATTTCATGCTTCTTTCTGAAATCATGATCGTCTGTTCCAAGCAATATTTTCAGCGAGGTGTATTTACATTCAAGTCAAAGGTTGATGGTTATTTCTTAATTTCAGCATAACCCTGCAACTTGGCTTTCTGAAGCTCGCTTCCTTGAGCGCGAGTGTTATGCAATGGCCTGGAATTAGAGTCCACAGCATGAAGTATGATCACCATGACCAGCGAAGAAACAAACATGGGAATCGGCCCAAAAAACCAGAGCAGAAGATCAAGAGCAAAATAAAGTGCCCGAAGACCAAGTGACCAGAAATGGTCTCCTCTTATCACTGCAGTCTCCACGCTGCTCACTGGTATGCGGCAATCCGGTGTGCTTATCAGATATGTCGCATGAACGAAGTGCCTTATAGATTGAACGAAGCACGAGAAAGCGAGGAGGAAGCAGATTAACAGGCAAATGTACTTGATGGAAATGGAGGTAGGGTTTATGTCGCCATAGATTAAATCACTCTGGAAGAATTTGTTGGAGCCATTGGAGATCCAAGCTCCTATAAGAGAGCAAACCGTCAGGGACACGGAAGCCATGAAGGTTGCAGCCGTGATGTTTGATTGAATGACTGAGAGAGCTGTGGTTATGTCTCTATTATCGGCCTGGTCATTACACGAGCAAGAAAGCGTCAAGGGGTTGGATTGAATCAAAGGAACGGAGAAGAAAAGAGAAGGATCAAGGTAAGTACTTGCCTGCATGATTCTCTCAACCCAAGCTCTCTTGTCATAGTCCTCGAAGCCCTTGGTCGTAGTGTGGGGTCTGTGTAGGTATCTGTAAAGCAAAAAGAGGTGGTAGGCAAACATGATGAGCAATCCACAAGGGACCAGAATCAAATCCAGGTACTCCTTATGGAACTCCATATTTCTGTGATTAGTTGGGTTTTCAATAACATGATCTTCATCAAGGCTTTAGTTATAGCTGACATGGTCATGGATTGTGGATTTCTCGTCATTCTTCACCTATACGCTTTATTTGCTTGAGAAGCTGTTGAGACTTGGTGATTGGGTAACCAGCCGCAACTTGATGTGCTGTCCCCGAGTAATATATAATAATATACTGAAAACCCAAGAGGTTATTGAATAGTAGTACAGCTACAATATTTGGGAATGGATGAAAGGATGAGTTAAGTAATTGCTTTTGCAGAAAGGGAACAATTTGAGTTCAAATTATCGCTTCTTGAGTTCCAAAGGATGAGTTTTAGGGAGTTGCTTTTGCAGAAAGGGAGCAACTTGGGCTCCATTTGCTCTTGTGGGGTTTTTGTGTTTTTTCTGGTGTTTTTTTTTTTGGGGGGGGGGAGGGGTAGGAGATTACACCGACACAGATAGACATATATTTAAGAAATTCCTAACAGGAACTTTTTTTTTTTTTTTTTATCGCAAGAAACAGCTAAGTTGCGGTGGGACCAATCATCGTTGGAGGAAGGCTTAAAATGCATTACTTAATAAAACTTGGACTCGTCAACCAAATACACATGACAGAAGAAACCGAGCTTTGTGACTGATATAGCATACTACCTCAGGTAGATATTATAATATGTAATTGTATATTTAATTTATTTCTAAATATAAAATTTTAATTTATTTTATATTTTATATTTAACTATTTTTTTTAAAAAATAGTTCTTATAATAATTGTACATATTAAATATTTCATCAAATGACAGTTCTAACTAATACATATGATTAATAAATGTATTTTAGAAAAGATAATATCTATTTATTACAAATAACTAATTTAACTAATTTTTTTAATCTCTTTAAATTAGTTAATTTAATTTTATATTTATATTAAAAACAGGAGGTAGTATCATTTAACGTAATAGAATTATCATAATTATTGTTATCAAACTCGCACGAGTTTGAGAAACTTGATCACAGATAAACTAAAGAGCTGAGCAGTATTAATGATAACATATTGATCACCATGTCGTGTAAGCTTTCAAATTAATTATCTAAATTAACCTTATATAGTATAGAGATCAACCTAGGTCGTCTCTCTCTATGAGGAGTTTTGTTAAAATTTGGAAAACCTTTTTAATTAAGAAAAATGTTATTTAGAGAAAGAAAGAGTAGGAAAGAAAATTGATTGATTTTTTAAGAAAATAAATTAAGAGAAATAAAAGGGAAATAACAATAATTAAAAGAAAGCAAAATGAATGAAGACTTTACTAGAATGATACACTTCTCGAAGACGTTGATGAGTAGTTATCACAGTTCAAAAGGATAAGGAGTTTATATAAAAAAATTACTAAGTTAAAAGGAAAAACCCTAGATAACATCTAAGTCATAATTAATTAATACTTATACCTAGAAAGCCAGCATATAATCATCTTTCAATTAATTATGTAAAACCACTTAGTTTGTGAATTCAATTAAACAGTTATATCTTATTCCTTAAAGAGAGTTATCTATGAAAAATCCTAGAGTATGAACTACTTGTGCAAATCAAAATTAAAATTTATAAAGATAAACATTTATAGAATCATGAGGAAATTGAAAATATATTCGTTAAAACTTTCAAAATATAATTGTTCAACTGAAACACAAATCAAATATCAGTCCACAAAAGAAATCAAAATCCTAACCTAGAAAATTCATAAAAGCAACATACTCATGGATTGAAATATGAAAACTAACAAACTCTCTAATATAAATAGGAATTCAAGTCACATCATTTTGTTATCAGGAACAAAGAGGACTAGCCACACATATAGCTAGATGACACCGTAATGATTAAAAAAAAATAAAAAAAGGCACTGAAACAATTAGACACAAGAGGAAGCCAAGTGTATATTTGTGGTTGTATAGTGTAAATGGCTTCGTGCCTCTCCAAGGCTCCCTTGATCTCCTTTTATAGCATTTGAACTTATCTTAGTCAAAAGAGGAAACCTTGAGACTTCTAGTTTGATTTTTTATCTTCTTTTATCTTGTAATCTTGATAGAATTTTGAATTTGAATTCTTTTGATTTGATGTGATCTTCATGACAGCTAAAGAAAAAGAGCTTTTGAATTTAAATAATATTAGATAAAAAAATAATATTTCAAATTTGAATGAAGATATGGTGGTAAGATGAATTGGGGTTAGGGTTTAGAAAGGGGATAAAAATGATAAGGTGGATATTTAAAAAATTAAATGGATAATAGAATATGAATAAAATATTTATTCACATTCAAAATATGATAAAAGAATTATTCAGAAAAAAAATTAATTATTCAAACTCTTTAATTTATAGTGGAAGATAAGAGATATTTTAGCTGGATATTTTGAATAATTTCTAATTAGATAATTGAAAAAAAAATTTTTAATGCCATGTGGCTATCACAAATATAATTTTTATGGGGTTCATGTTTTGCTTGATAGAGTATTTCCTGAAATCAAAACAAAAATACATTTAAAAAAATATGAGTATCTTCTGCATTTTAAATCTTTTAAATATTATAAAATCCCTTAATTATATATAAAAAAAACTATAAAATAGGGATACATCACATCAATAATAGTTGTTTTTGAAGGATTTTATAGAGTTATATAGATCAGAAATGATAATTATTTTTATCATTGTTACTCCTTTTTTTAATAATTTTATCAAATTTTTTTGTTTTTTGTTTACCTGAATATCAAGGCATACTAAATATACAATTTAATTAAGAAAATCACACAATCATCTCTTAAAAGTATACACCTACCTCAATATTAAAAATCAATACAAGTTTTTAAAATTTTTAATGAAATATATTGATTGCATAAGTCGACTTGAAGCCTTAAAATTATACATGTGACGCAAATGATTATTCGATCAAGTATAACACTCAATTATTAGATTAAATTGATTCAATTCGCACTTTTACTTTGACAATAATTGAAGGAAGCACAATGATATTTTTAACATTGTTCAGTAACCAAATATAAAAAAGCATTGAAGTTCTAATCTTATGATTACATTAGTGTTCAGAAGATGTGCTTAGCAAGACAATAAACTTTAAATCTTAAACCTTAAACTCCAAACTAATACACAGAGTGGGCAGACATCAGGTGATGATGAACAGCGATTTGAATGATAAAACCCTTCCCATATACTAATTTCATGATCCGTAAACTAACACACAGAGTGGGCAGACATCAGGTGATGGTGAGTAGGGATTTCAAGGATAAACTTCAATGAGGGACCTTACGCCAAAAATGGGTGTTATCTTGTAGTGACTGAACCCTGCTTCCAAGAACAGCTTCTCCCATTCTTTTTCTTCTCTCTCTCTTCCAGTGACCACAGTCATCATCAACACATCGAAGAAGAGCTTCGCATCTTTCAAATCGTGTTCATCTTTCTTCTCATTGATCACTATGTCTATAATAATCACTTTCCCCTCTTTGCCTTTGCTTGCGATAGCTTCCTTACACTTCCTGAGCACCTTCACGCAGTCTTCATCACTGTAAGCATGTAAAACCAACTGCCAAATCCCAATTAATCATTGCTTAGTCAAATTTCCTACTTTGTTAATAATTCATACAGTGCTCATCAATGCTATACAAACTGGTGGATATAATCTTAAAATTTGCATACCTTAAGAAGAATGGCATCTGCTGTAGGAATAGACTGAAACATATCCCCTCCAACGAACTTCAAATTTCTGCTGTCTTGTAAGTTTTCAACAACATGTGGAAGATCTAACACAGTGCACTGCAGGTTAGGCAATGACGTGGATATGATTCTAGACACAGCTCCTTTTCCACCCCCAACATCAACTAATGAATTGAATCCCTCAAAAACTGATCTGCAATCTTTAATTACCAAGTTCATCATGCTTGAATCACTAATCATAGCTTGATTGAAGAGTCTGTTAAACTCCTCGTTTTGGCTGAGATAGTCCCAAAATCCCATCCCATGTGCAGTGTGAAAGGGGGTGGGCTCATTACTGCTAAGCCAATCTCCCAAGCATTCCGATGGATGCACTATAGCTGGATGAAACATTGCCTGAACGAAAGGGAACAAGCTTGGAACATTGTCTTTGCGGAGAAGTCTAGAGGAAGGTGTGAGATCGTACCCCTCTTCTTCCCCTTCACCTATAGGGACTTTGGTAGTTGAAAAAAGGCCAGAGTGAACCAGTAAGCGCATGAGCCTATAGACATAAGAAGATTTTGCAGGGTCCATCTGGAGAGCCGAGAGCAGCTCAGGGAGGGTGATGGGTCGGCCATGGCTGTGGATTATGTCTGGTATGTTCAGCTGCAGAGCACTCTTTAGACACATCGAACCTATGAAATTGAAGACGTGTTTATACAGATGGGCCTGAGCTTGAAACAACTCTGCCTCCTCCTTGCCTTCGTTGATAGCCATTTTTGCAGGTGCAGATCCCTTTCTTCTCCGATGAACAGCAGCAGCTGCAAAAGAAAATAATGTCAAGAAGGTCAGAAGGAATAAATCGGTGCTTAAAAGTTAAAATTTCAAGTGGTTCAATGACTTTAAGGATAACTTGGACGTTTGTTTATTGGGTGTCGTAGATAATATCCTCAAACGAGGGTGTCTCAATTGTTTTTTTTTTTTTTTGACCGGATTGTCTCAAGTTTTTTGACTTTGTAGAGCTTGTCACAATTGGAGCTTTTTAATACTCGTCCAACATTCATTTATAAATTATATTATAAAATAAATTTTACATTTAGGATAAAAAATATTATAAAAAATAAATGGTATAATACGGAGTATTTGAGAAGCACCTGATAAAAAGAAAATAACTGGTAAAAAAATAGAGAGCAAATAAATCATTCATAAAGATGTATCTGAATCTCGTACAAAATTAAACTCGCTCTTGTGCTACATATATAACTAGATTAGGTAAATTAAAAAATTAATTAAAATTGGTTGAATACAATTAATATATAAAAATTGTATGTTATTTTTTAAAAATAATTTTATTTATGGAGAATTATAATGAAGTCCAAAACAAGGAAAACAATTGAAAAACAAGTCCAAGAGGTTATTATTCTCACTATAGGACTTATCATTATAGGCTGTTGAGGTTGTTATTGGAACCTTTTGATAATTATTTCTCTTATGTGGGACTTGATTGTAATTTCTCTTTTTATTTACGTAGAAAAAACGCCAATGAGAGTGGGAATGATCAAATGAAAAAGAGGTATGTGTTATGAATAAAGAAGAATAGAGAAGAATTATACAAAGGAAGAGAGGATTGATAAGAGAGAGTCTTTCTTATTCCATTCAAGAGTACACAATACATTATACATGGCCTCTATTTATAGGCATAGCTTTACATCTTTGATAGAATCTACAGATCACATGATAATATGAGATAATTGTGGGATATAGAGATAATGGGAGATATTAGAGATTATAGGAGATATAGGAGATAAAGGGAGATATATGGACATCCACAAAGATATTATTATATTCATAACACTCCCCCTTGGATGTCTAATATATATGAATGTGCCTCGTTAAAAAACTTCAACTAGGAAAAACCCTATGGGATAAAAACCTAGCGAAAGAAAAAGAGTACATCATTCATTGATACACTATGCAATGCTGCCTCATTAAAAACCTTGCTAGGAAAACCCAGTGGGACAAAACCATAGACAAGGAAAAAAGAGTACAGCGTGTATCAACTCCCCCTCTTGACAACATCAGTTGACATCTTGGAGCCTGCAAAGTCTAATATAACGAACAACCCTTCCAAATATTGTAATTAGATAAAAACGTCAAATATGAATTTCATAATCTTCTAAAAATTATGAGACGAATAGTCATTTTATAGTTTACCCACATGTGGATCATGCTGTGATCTCTTAACATGAGAATCAAACAGAAATACGTTATCTACATAGCCAGTAAAATTAGTTGTGGGTACTTTTAAATATCCACGGTATCCTTTAAATGAAAAATATTCTTAATTTCTCTCCATCGTCTTTATATTAGCGACAAACTATATCATGCTAACTAGCAAATGATATATTGAGTTATGTGTGGCTAGATAGATACATATGTGCTCTAGTGACACTAAAGCATGGTACTTCTGGACCAAGTATTTGTTCATTACCTTCTAGAGGTCTAAATCGATCTTTAATCCATATCTAAAGATCTTGCAACTACCGAAACACATAATGGATGTGATTTATCCATATGTATTCTTCTCAAAGCTTTTATTTTAAACTTTTTCTTTAAGTAATTTGTAGTTTTTGAAAACTCATCAGGAGTTGTGATACTATAATTATAAATAGTATTGATAACAGACTCATTTTGAATCTTTTCATAAACAGACAAGTTGGAATAAGTTTACAACATTCCTTCAGTTGATATTAACCACATATCTCTCATATAGAGACTTACTTCAATGATATCTTGAGAACATAATTGTATGCTTCTAGAAACTTAAATCCTTCAAGAATTTTCATACATTATGATCCATATCTATTCATGTATTGGATTGTTTATATTTATACAAGAATTTGAATCCTTCTGGGATTCACATATAATTTCACTACATAGCGGGTCACTGTATTTCTAGACGCATATGAGATTTTATCAAACTGCCAGATTGATAATATACATAAAAATTTTAATTCACCACAAGATTCTCTTTCTCTTTTCTTGTACAAATACCCCTTACACTTCAGATGTTTGGGTTAGAGATACACAAATCTCCTGTTATAATATTGCGTCTTTTCTTTTCTGTTAGCCAATCATTTTTCTGTCTGTATCTCATAACAGATTTATATATAAGATCCTCACTTGATCATGTGATATCATCAATCAAATTATTGTCGACAATTTTATTCCTTTGTCGGTCCCGTTTTCTTTTATGACATAATATATCGAGATCTCTTTATTGCTTTCAGACATTTAAACCTCTTCAGGGGTCAAAGAGTTATGTCTTAATCTTTTTTGCAATTCATGCCTCCTTAGTATGATCATCATGATCATTTGCTCCTTTTTCTTTCTTTTTGGAACCGATCATAATATCATGCTTTTAGCATGTCTTCAAGAATATGAGCATTTTTAGCTGGAATATAAGAATTAAAAATTCTCATTTGGGTCAGTAATTGCATCTGGCAGACATTAGTAATGTTTTACAAATGCAATACTTCATGAACTTCTAGTTCATACTACTATATTTGAGGATCTACATTTGATAGTGAAAGTGCATTCTATGTGTTCTCTTTTCCAGCTATACATTTTCTCCCCCTCATATTGGAAATATGCAATGTAGGTCTCCCAAATCCATAAATCTCCTTCAGAAACATTATTTTGTTTCATTTAGAGACAAACAAGAATAAGGAGGTTCTTATCCAACATTGATCCCAACTTACTTTTAATATCCACCTATGTCCATTATTACGGTGGAATAATAAATATTGCATATTCTAAGATGAAAAATGTCTGACTCCTGATCAAAAGCCAAATATAATGGGAGAATTCACAATACATTGTTGGCTTGATGTATTTATGTGCAAAAATATAAAATCAATCATCCCAACACTCAAGTAGGAATTCTGTTCTCATAAACTCTGATCTAGCTACTTATGGAGGCTTTTACTAAGCATATAATTATCAGCAATGTGAGGAACAATCACTAGCAATCTCAACAAGAATCATATTGATTTCATAATCAAGAACTTATGTACTTAATGTAATTATTTGAACATATTTGCAAATTTCAGGTTGCAAGTTGATCATAAACACCTGTGACCATTTTATAGATGCATCTTTCACTTATAGAGTATTACTTTGGTCTACATGGTGTCTAAATGGGCCCATATATAAATTTGATACATTATAAATCTGTACGGATCTGATTTTGAGCATAGCTAGTGATGTTCTTTTTTAGAACAAACAACACATAAAAATTCTTGAATCACATATCATTTTAAAGAATCTTCTAGCTCTTTAATAAACGACAATGCACATTTTTTATGATATTTTGCATCATTATGATCCGGGATGATCTAACCAGTCATGCACTCATGCCAAACTATGAATGCATAAACTTCTGGTTTATTGTAAAATCATTCTCAATTATTGGTAAACTTCTTATTACCATGTTATATTATTTATTTTTCTCCTTAATATTCCATAAGGAATATGTTATCAATTATAGATTTTATCTTCAGGATAATAAATAATGATATAGCTCTTCTAGAGCATTAGTTTTTATCTTTTACCCAAATGGTAAAAACCTGTGCAGTCATGAAAGGTTGAGCGCTACTGGCTCTTCTGGAGCTTTTTTCAAAAGGAACATGAGATATAAGGAATGAAATTAATATTAATAATAACAAATTCCATCTAACATGATTCACACTTGTATTTCAACAATCTCCCCCTCAAGTGTGAGTCATATAAATATATTTTTCTTATTTCTGTATTTCAAATACAGTGAATACTATATAGTAAGCTAATAACATATCTTTAACTTGGAAATCCAAATGCTTCCTGATTCATATATAATAATAGATTTAAATCCAATTGAGTTATCACCTTAAGACCCTATAATAAGTAAATATTCTCATATAAATGTTTGTGGGTTATAATTTTTCATTATTAATTCCTTTTCTGCCCACAAAAAAAAATAGAAATTATATCGCTTCTAGCCTTTTAATGAGATAAAAAAAATTCAAATATCTATGGCTTCTGGCCGTAAGATAGAAAATCAAATTTATATGGCAACTAGCCATTTAATAAGATAAAACAAAATTATATATATATGGCTTCTGGCCATAAAATAGAAAATTCAAATTATATGGCTTCTAGCCATTTAATAAGATAACAGTAATCAAATATATATGGCTTCTAGCCATAAGATAGAAAATTTATACGTAAATACTTCTAGTTATTTAATAAGATAAAATATCAAATATATATGACTTCAAGTCATTTAAAAAAATAGAGAATTAACCATATATATATATATATATGGCTTCTAGCCATAAGATAAAAACTCAAAGTGGTATAGCTTCTGGCTATAATATAGAAAATCAAAATTATATGGCTTTTAGCCATTTAATTTGAAAAGAATGTAAAATCAGAGTTATATGGCTTCTAGCCATTTAATCGCAATGAGATGAGAACTTAGAACTATATGGCTTTTGGCCATTTAACTTTAGATGGTAACTCTTTTAAGATACTGCTAGTATCCATTGGAACTTCGGGTTCTATCGAAATAGTGACATCAGGTCAATAAGAAATAGAGGGGGAAAGAATCTCCAATCATAGCCATGGAACCCGATGTTTAAAACAACAGTAGATTTTTTTTTTTTAATTCCATATAATGGCTTAGATTGTCCTAGATAAATTGAATAGGAATATGGATACTCTGAAACACCATATCTGTAATGCTCGAGATATTCTTATTTGAACAAAGCAAGAGATACTCCAAAAAAATAATATAGATGATGCTCTAAAATTATGCTGGAATAGAAAGGTATATCATACGCACCTTGGTTAGAGCTTCGTGCTGATAACGTGTTATG